TCCTTTCATAAGCAACACATGAATGGCCTAAGAATCATTCAAAGGGTTAATAATCATAGGTTGATTAGGACAGATACCATGTTCTAGGACTTGTGTGTTTATCATATTCTTAGGAAGCTTAATGACTCTTGTATGCTTTATTCTAAGTAGATACCATGCTTAGGTTGTAGATTAGAAATCACGTCTTGTGTAGATACCATGCACAATTACATGCCTTAGAAGAGTCATGCGTCCTGACCTAGATACCATGGGCTTGTATGTGATAATCTATTGTTGATAAAGCTTGAGTCAATTTCTATGCATCCATAACTTGAATAGGAAAACTAATGGTGGATTCCAAGGCTCTAACACCTCTCAATCATTGTTTTACAACTTATTGATTGCTACCTGTGTTTTCTTTCCAACACTTTCATTTCAATTTGGTGTTTTTATTCCAACAACAAAAGCCCCATTTTGAGTGAGTGTGTGGTGCTGGGATTTTGTCCTAGACTTTGCCCTTAGTTAGTTAGGTAATTTCTTTGTTTTATGTTTTTCCAGCATTTTAAGTAGTTTAACTTGGAACCAAGTTACCATTCTCCGTGGGATCGACCTTCTATTTACATAAGCTATACTATAAACGGTTCGTACACTTGTGAGAATTAAAGTTGCTATTTTTAATAACTCATTTTAGTTGTTAAGAATAGGCTCAACAAGTTGCAAGAAGTTCAGTAACTCCCAGGGACGTCCATGTGCTGAGAACAAAGGATGATAACTGAGTAGTAGCGATGCCATGATGTTGAGCATGCAAAGTGCGGCGTCAGTCTCAAGTGTGGGCCATCGCCTTATTGTGAAATCCCCTGAAGTGCGAGTGCTAAGAGCGTAGTTGATGGCAGAACAGAATTTGGTTGAAGATTGTTAGAGCGTTTTTCGAAAATTGAAAAGGGAAAGGGCAAAGATGTCAGAGGAGATTGTTTACACCTGGAATTTTCGACCTAGAGCCCAATGAAGGATGATGGCATACCTGGGGCCCAAAAGCCAGAATCTTAGCTCAAACTTAAGCCCAGGCATCATAGGCCATGTCCAAGAGTTATTCAAGGGAATTCCACGATTGTTCATCGGCCCAGTAGACAAGCTCGCCTTAGTAGACATGTTCGGCCCAATGAATAAACTCAACCCAACTGGCAAGCTTGTCTCATCAGACATGTCCAACTCAATAAATGAGCTTGGCCCAGTATTTAGGCTTGTCCCAAGACAGGTTCCTAGGTTATCAAGCCTTGGCTGAATCAACCATGGCCGAGTCTTCCATCAGTAGACTCGACCACAATCCAAATTACAACCTGTTTTCCGGCTAAGAGATAACATCTTCACGTGGCCTCATATGGTCACTGTCTTGGGAGATGAAAAAAGGATGATGCACTGAGTAAAACCTGGAGTAGGATTTTCTGGAAACGGTGTGCACCAAGGAAAACATGGAATGTGATTTCTAGAAAAGTTGAAGACTTTCCACGTCAGGATAAGCATATGTGTTGGAATCTATCAGTGGAGCTACAGGAAGCCATTATTAATGATGAATTGACAAAGACTACTCTTCCTGACATCTGTCCAAAGTCCCTGACGTCCTCCAATCAGATTAGGACGAGGGATAAAAACTCGACTTTGGCCATGAACAACACTTGGACAAGGAGAAGATTCTGACATGTTCATCATCTCCAAATTGTCAGCAACTCAAGCCACTTGAAATAAACAAATCCAGAGCCAGCTGTCTAAGAGACCTGCTACCAAAAGAGAAAAGCAGATGCAGCCCCTTAAACCATGCCTTCATCAGCCCATGCGTCACTCTTTCCTATAAATACAAGACCCACAACAACAGAATAAGGGTCCTCGACCAAATAAGCATCCCACGGAGCAACTTATCTTTTCTAGTCTTCCACTAATGTATTTTCAATATCTTTAAATGCTTTCCTAGAAGTAGTGGGAAAGTTAAGTTTTTCCATCCATCAATATATCATACGATCCTTGATTTTCAAGACGCCAGAGCACCATCCCTGTAACTTTTCCATCCACCCTATATATCATACAACATTTGCAATCTAGCGAGGCGCTTGAGCACCATCCAAATCCATCGTACGTCGTTTCCACCACCGATTGCAATCAATGGCCTTGTAGCTCAAGGCCTGAACTTGACGGCTGAGAATTGTTCCTCTCTCGGCCACAATCGCTTTGAGTGCTTATAGGCAACCAAAAGCATGGGTCATCTCTTTATTCCTTTTTCTTTTGGTTTCACATAAGCACCCATGCTTTCCTTTGCTTTTCAAGTGTAGTTCTCATTCTTTGTTCTTCTTTCTATTCTCTTTTGGTTGCTACATGCGGGTTGCATTTGGTTTTACTTTGGTCAAAAGGTGCGGCTGTTTTTAGGTTGCTAGCTGCCCAAAGTTGCTGCCTTCAACACTCATATTTGCATAAAATTTTCCACGTTTTCTCCTCTCCATCATTACAATTGGTTTTAATACATTAAAAGGAATTATCTCAACTTTAAGAATCTGAAAACCAAACTTTATAATGTAAAACAATGTTGGTAACAAGTAGAAAAAGGGGTGGCACACAAATGATGCTACAAACACCCCAAAACGAATTCTCTGAACCAGGATTGGTGTGGGAAGGCCTGAGGTGTCAATATGGATCCAATGGGGCTCAAATTCGGGTATGTTATAATAGAAACCCATTGGAACAACTTTCATGAAGAATGTATTCCCATCCGAGTAGTATAAGTGAAAGGTTTAGGGCATGCAAGTGGACTGCCGAAAATGACTGGAATTGGATCCAAATTATGCTTCCCTGCATCAATTAGAAAAATATTGCAAAAAATAAGTCATGATGCATTAACTCAAGAAGCATTAATAATTGAACTAGAAGAGAGAATTCATAAAATTGAAAGAAGATGCCCAATACTATTTATGCTTCTAAATAATCCTTAGTAGCATATGTATTCATAAAGCTTTTAATATTTCTAATGTACAAACACAACGCAAATAACAAAGTAACTCAAATAAAATGCTAGCAAAAGAATTGTTTTATGGATAAAAAATATGCAATAAAATGCTCTTATCACTTCACAGTTCGTGAAAACTATTCTAATTAGTTCAAATAGAATAAACTAAGGCACTAATAAATATAGATTCGGGATAACAAATACGCAATAAAATGCTCTTAGCAATAAGATTAACTCCATGACATCTTACATGAGATATATAGTAGTAACTACTTGTTGATTATATATAATTTTGAGCAATATTGGAATGAATTGGATTAGAATTGACTCCAAGTGAGTTCTTATGAGTCCTACCCTTTTAGATGAGAGGCTTGTAAAGCACAATATGTTGAACTATTGTCCAGTTCTTATGAGTTCTACCCTCTTTGTTCATAATCCTTTTGTTATCGAAGTGGCTGGTCATATATGGTATAAACAAGGGTCCCCCAGGTTCTCGATTTAGAATGGACTTCTTGGTTGGGGACTTGTTAACGTGCTCTTCGGTATCAGACTAGTGAACTCTTCGGTAGTTCTCGATTCTAGCCGATAGTAGTCCCTAGTCCTCCAAGTCCCCAATTAAGAAGGTACTTGGAATGAGGGGACTTGGCCTATGGTTCCATTTGGTAAGGTGATTGTTTGCAAGTTTCTTTGGCCTTCGACTTGCATTGAATGAGTGATCAATGCATAATTATATATAATTTTATACTCTTCTAACTTATGATTTCGTTATGTTTTTGAGTTAAACTTGTGCTTTTAATTTCTTTTTTGTTTGTTTAAGTGTATTAAGCTTTGGGACTCATTTAATGCATTTTGGAGTCAAGTTAGCTCAAAATTGTGTCTGCAGATAAGTCAACTTCATGAATTGGAATGTACATGCTCAGAAAGAATCAGATAATGCTCCATACATCATTGAAAATATGTAGAAGTCTAGTATTTGGAGTACTTTACGGTTCATGATTCCGAGTCTTCTAGAGGAAGTTATGCCAATTTTGGCAACTTAAGGTGAAATTCCGCAGCATCTGAGTTACTGTGCCAAAAATGATATTTGAAGGCCTTTCCGATTTTTTTTTGAGCTGGGCTACATATAGTTGGAAAGATAAGACAAAGAGCTTCAAGACCCATATTTTTACATAATTGTATCAATGGAGGAACAAGCCCAAAACGAGCCTACAAGCAGACTGCAATGCATTGTCATGCATGACCTATGGATGAGCTAATTATTTTTGGTAGGGAAGTCAGGTAAAGTTGGTGAAGTGGGTGTTGTAGGTGGAAGCAATACTCAATTCAGATTTTTACTTCCCTTAGGCCTAAAAATAATGAGGTTCCCTAAGCTCTCAAACACCTCTCTTGAGCTCCTCTCCATTCTCTTTCTCAAATTCTCTAAGTTCTCAACTGTTGTAACAAAACCCTTTTGCGAAATTTTCCTTTATGTTTTTCTTAGTTGTAATTTATTTTTCATTATCATGTAATTTCTTATTTTAATTTTTCAAGTTTCAATTTTAGTTCTTGTTCTTATTCATTATGCTTATCAGTTGATATGCTTGTTTGAATATTTGATCACCATTTAAACTTGTATGTTAGCTATCTTGGTTGGAATTAAGGATAGACACCATATGCTTTAATTCGAATTGAACTGTGAATAGGAAGAGTATGTATGGACATTCGACAACAGGGATTAGATACATACTTGGTTGTTTAAAACCTTCTTCTATGCTTAATGGATTTCTAATGCTTAATTTAGGTTCGACAACAAGGATCTAATTAGGGAATTAGGAATACAAGGTTTGGACCAAACACCATGGCTTAATCATACTTTAGCTAGAATCAATCCCTGAATCTGAATTGAACTTGTTAACTAATTTCCTTGAGTTAGTTGTTTTCTTTCTTTCTTGTTTTCTGTTCTTTTCTTTCTTGTTTTGTTGTTTTTTGCAGGGAATCAAATTGAACCAATATTTCATCCATCCTTGTGGGATCGACCTCGCACTTACATATGCTATATTATCGAACAACCTCGTGGGTCCATCCTCGTGAACCAATCAATTTGAGTTCTCATGTCGAGAGTCTTTGAAGCTGGATAATACTTGTTTAAGAATTTTTCACTGAGTTGGTTCCAAGTGCTAATGCTTCCAGATGGAAGTGTGAGGAGCCATCTCCTTGCTTGATCTTTCAATGTGTAAGGAAATAGACGAAGCTTAATAGATTCAGCTGAGAATCCTTTCACCAAAATATTCTTGCATCCCATTAAAAATTCTGCAATGTGCATGTTAGGATCATCGGTTAATAACCCATGAAATGTAGGTAGAATACTCAACATGTGATGCTTGATTTCGAATGTAGACCCTTCTTCCACTGCTGGATATGTAATGCAACCTGGTATGTTAGTGGCATGAGCTGTTAAAGAATTACCCAAAGGATCACCAGCCTCTGGAATAACAAAAGCCATTGTTTCTGTACTGTGCAGGTCCTCAGAATATAAAGACTGCAGAAAAGTCCCTTGCAGTGAAGGAACCCACAACAAATTTTGCTCCCTGCGTCTCCTCCTTAAATATTGCTCAGGTTCTGGATCAAACGGAAACAATTGCTAAATTGTTGAACGTGTGCTGACCATGCACAGATTGTAATCTGCACTGCCTTGCTGTGATCAGCAAAAATAAATAAAAACGAAAATTATTTTTTTATTTATTTTTGGTATGTATGTACAGCAATAATTAATGCAGAATCTGATTAGAACGAATTATTTTAAATAATCCCCGGCAACGGCGCCAATTTCTTGATAGGCTTTTTAGTACCTGCGCAAACAGGGTTAAAACTCCTACAAAACTTGCAAGAATGACAAGGTTATTGTAGTATAAATGATTCTCGCAAGGTCGTTCTCCGCAGGGATTATTAAATAACTCGTAGCAACCAAATTCTAATTAATTATTGCAAAAGAGAAAGTTGAGATGTTTGATTTGAAGACCTTAAATTAAAAGGAATTTAACTAATAAAAATAAGGCAATATGCAAAATTAAAGCTAAGAGCAAGAGAAACAGTTGTGTTTTTAGAAATCAAATTAAGAAAGCACTAGGGATCCGCCGTCACCTTAACAATTCTATATAGTTCCCCCAATTACTTATGACCTATACATGCATATTTCGAAGGTTAGGTATTCCTAATATATGCCTACTTGGACCCCCAACATAGAGCGTATATCACACATGCAATCCGTCTGTGGTATTCAGATCAAATCTAAACATACATGACTCATTAAGTTCTGTGAAACCTTTTGAAAAACCATGCAACCCTTAAGACGTGGTATTCATCCTAAGTGAACTTGCACATATTAATCACAAGAAGCCTTCGTCAATTTCAGGGACCGACCTCCGACCAAAACTGCATCAAATTACTTTTCTAAACATCCTAATGGTGATCAAGCATCAAGACACTTAGATAGTTTAACCCAGTGATGAATAATTCGAAAACCTGCATGCATATAATCATAAGCAAATTGGACAGAAACTACATATTCTTGCTAAGGCTCGTGGCCTCACCCTAGCAAAAGAGAGTTAGTTACGCATGTTCACAATTGAAATCCAAGAAAATATCATTAAGAAGAATAAGAATGAAAACACCTGAAAGTCGCGAAAATCCAAAATCCTAGCAATTGCTCCAAAAACCAAAAAGAAGTAAAAAGGGAGTCCCCTAAATTTCTGTGAAAAGGAGCTTAAATACCTCCTAAAACCTAGCTGCCCAATCCCCACAAGGAAACTAGGTTAAAATAAGATAATACTAGGATATAAAATCCAAATTGGATTAGGAGAATCTGCCCAAATCTGCCCAGCCACGTTTGGTCTCAAATCTCCTCCAAATCTGGCCCAAGATAGCTCGTTTTAAAGATAAAAATATTCCGAACACTTCTCCAGAAGGCCACGAACCCATCCGAGGTCATCTTGGGCTCCAAAAACGCAATAAAAGCCCAAAATGTCAATGTTCTAGCACGGCGCACTGTTCCTTTATTTATTCGCCAGGAAATCATCTCTTGGTGGAAAAGTCTGAAATTCTGACACGATCAAGCTAAGTGACTCACGAACGTCCTCCAACTGGAATTACTCCAAAATTCGTCCATTTGATTATGTTTTGCTCTAAAGGGAGTCGAAAGTCCTATATTGGAAATATAATTTAAAGTATCAAAATTCTTCCAAAATATTAACCAAAATATACTAAGAATGGGGTTAAATATATAATATAAAATTGACTCATCAGGAACTGATCCAATTTAGGGAGGGGTATCAGATTCCTGATTCTATAGGTCTATGGATTCTAATGGCAAAGGAATCGTTGAGCTCCCCACCGGATGGTCACATGACTATATTCACAGACATCTTCCTGTTGGGGCTTCAGTTACCCTTATGCCCTTAGGTTCCAAAGATTCTGGCAAAGATAGGCTACGCACCACCCTAATTCAATCCCAACTTCTAGATTACTTTTTTGGGAACTTGTATTGCCTTTGGCCTGGCTAGAGAAGAAGAGCATGCTTATGAGCAGCTCTCCTATCTGTACAACATCTCCAAGGCCAGTGCTTTAGATAAGGATAAGGGTGGTTGGGTGCAAACCAATTGCCGATGCACGAAGCAAAAGGGCTACTTCGTCGCTGATATGCCTTTGTCATAGAAGTCATTAAGAGAACGACAATGTTATGCCTTTAACAATTGAGAGGTTGCCAATCCCAAAAAATCGATTGAGCGGCATATACCTACCCATTTCCAAACCGTCGGTACGTAGTAGGTGTCGTTTGACAATGTATTCAATTTTTTTGTTTGCATTTGCTGATGTCAAATCTGCGTGTACTTATGAGTTGTTTTTATTTTCAAGGAAGCAGCAGCAATGTGCTCACTTAAAGGAGGACGAAGTCCTTTGTGAGAAAGTGAGGAGTCTAATTCCGATCATCAATTGAGAGTGGAGGATTTTTCTTTCAATGTCGAATCTAACTTGGGTCAAGCTCATTGGCGACAGTAAGTTATACCTTACCGTTGGGCAGTTGCCTTGTATATATATACATATTTGCCAAATGTAGTGACCCTTTTTTGTGTGTGTGTGTGTTTTTTTTTTTTTTTTTTTTTTTTTTTTTTTTGTGGGGTGACTTACTTATAAAAGGAGTTGGATAAAGATGTCGGCACTCTTGGCCAGAAGCTGCTTTGGAACGTGACGTGATACAACTTCGACCATGAGCTAAAACTTGACTTCAAGAAAGACCTTTCCCCACTTCTAGAAGGTGTGACTGAAGCGATGATTCCAGATGTGGAGATGAAGGAAGTTTAGGAGAATGAAGATGGTGGCAATGAGGACAGCAATGTTGCTGCACAATGATTTTGGCTGGTGCTTTATTCCCTTGTTGTATTCTATAATTTTTGTTAATGTTTAGCTATTCAAGCTGGGTTTGTGTATTGGTTAGAGAGAATAAGAAATTCTGAGTGCTTTTGTATAACTGCTCTGCTTGCTCACAAAGTATGTGAGCAGTGTTTTTGTATATATTCATCTGTAAGAAAATGAGCTCATACGGCATGTACAAGACCGTTAGCTCTAAGCTGGATTCACACACTCATCAGTGAATCTCAGCCATCCATCATGCTAAACTAATGGATCACACAAATTACAATAAAGGCCCTACACTTGGTTTAATTACCAAAGTGAATACACAATTAACTACAAGGCATATTTATGCTAAGCTTTAATCAGCTCATAGCTTATACACTAACACTCCCCTTTAAGCTTTGAGCTGATACAACTCCAAGCTTGTCTCTAAGATAGTTAAATCTCTCCTTTGGTAAAGACTTGGTAAAAATGTCTGCCACTTGATCTTTAGTAGGACAATAAATCAAATCAATAATACCTTGTTATAGAGCATCCTTAATGAAATGATACCTCCTGTCAATGTGCTTTGTCCTTTGATGCAAAATTGGATTCTTTGTGATTGAGATTGCAGATGTGTTGTCACATTTCAGAGGAGTAGCTTCTGTTTGTAGTTCACCAAAATCCTCCAAGACAAACCTAAGCCATATAGCTTGAGTTGTAGCTTCTGAAGCACTAACATATTCTACTTCTGCAGTTGAGAGAGCAACACAACTTTGCTTGACAGAAGCCCATGAAAAGACTCCATTTCCAAATGAGAATGCATAGCCATATGTACTTTTGCTATCTTCAATAGAGCCTCCCCAATCACTGTCACAGTATCCAACCAACACTGCCTTCTTGCCTTTCTCATACATCAAACCATAGTCTAATGTTCCTTTAACATACCTTAGCACCCTCTTAGCTGTTCCATAGTGCTTATTAGAAGGACCATGCAAATATCTAGCTAGCAAACTTGTAGCATACATCACATCTGGTCTTGTAGTAGTAAGGTACAGTAAGCTTCCTTCAAGCTTTCTATAATTCTCTTCATCAGCAGCACCATTTCCATCATCCTTGATCAACTTTTCTGTGGCTACAAGAGGAGTAGACACAGGCTTACAGTCAGTTAAGCCAAATTTATTCAACAAAGAAGATGCATACTTCCTTTCGTGAATAAAGATGCTTGAATCTGTCTGAATCACCCTCATTCTTAGAAAGTGATGGAGAAGTCCCAAGTCCGTCATTTCATACTTCTCTTTCATGTCTTTCTTGAACTTATTCAACATTCCTTGATTGCTTCCTGTGTACATTATATCATCCACATAGATGGATACAATTAGTATATCATTTTCTCCCCTTGTCTTGGTATAAAAAGTGGCTTCACTCAAGCTTTTCTCAAACCCACACTCAGCAAAGTATCTGTCAATTTCTCCATACCAGGCTCTAGGTGCCTGTTTTAACCTATAAAGAGCCTTGTGCAGTCTATAAACTTTATCTTCTTTGCCTTGAACCACAAATCCCTCAGGTTGCTCAACATACACTTCTTCTTGCAGCTTTCCATTTAAGAATGCTGACTTGACATCTAGTTGATATAACTTCCAGCCCTTTTGTGCAGCAAGAGCAATTAAGGTCCTGATTGTGTCCAATCTAACAACTGGAGCAAAAGTTTCATTATAGTCAATTCCTGGTTTCTGCACATATCCCTTAGCAACCAATCTTGCCTTGTTCTTTTGCACTGAACCATCTAGATTTAGTTTGGTCTTGAACACCCATTTCACTCCAATAACTTGTTTGTCACTTGGTTTGTTCACAAGTTCCCAAGTTCCATTTTTCTCAATCATAGATAGTTCATCCTCCATTGTTTTTATCCATGACTGATCCTGTGCAGCTTCTTCATACTTCTCTGGCTCTACAATGCAGAGATTGCATTGTGCCAGAATATCATTTATGCTTCTCCACTTGACTAGTGTATGATCATAAGGTTTAGTGATCTCAGCAGTTTCATGGATATTTCTCTCTTGTTCTTTAGCTTGAGAAGAGCTGCAAGGACTAGCACAATTGTTGTCTACTTCTGTTACTTCATGTAGACTGGAATCAATCTCAGTTTTAGATTGATCTTGAGTATTTGTCACTGCAGTAGGTATTTCTATCTGTGCTTTCCAGTTCCAAGTCATACTTTCATCAAACACAACATCTCTTGACAAAATCAACTTCTTAGTGAAAGGATCAAATACCCTGTACCCCTTTTCACAAACAGCATATCCAACAAAAACCCTTTTGACACTCTTAGCATCTAGTTTCTGCCTTGTTTCTGTTGGTACATGTACATAACAAAGTGATCCAAACACTTTGAGATGACTAATACCTGGTTTTCTACCACTATATGCTTCAAATGGAGTGATATTTTCTAGTGCCTTGGTGGGTGAACGATTTAGGAGATACACAACTGTGTGAACAGCTTCTGCCCATAGAGAGTAAGGCATATTCTTCTCATGAAGCATTGCCTTGGCCATTTCCACCACAGTTCTATTTTTCCTCTCCACCACTCCATTTTGTTGTGGAGTATAGGATGTGGTTAGTTGTCTTTGAATGCCACATTCTTCACATAATTTTTTGAATTCACTAGATGTGAATTCACCTCCTTTATCACTTCTCACACACTTCACTTTGAAACCATTTTGCAGTTCTACCATGGATTTAAACTTTCTAAAACAGGTTATTGCATCTGATTTATACCTTAGAAAGTATACCCAAGTCATCCTTGTGCAATCATCAATGAGTAGCATAAAATATATGTTTCCAGCTATAGATTCATCTGCATTGGACCACATAGATCTGTATGTATCAGTTCCAGAGGATTTCTTGCTCTCCAAGCCTGCCCTTTAGGAAACCAGTCCCTACGTTGCTTGCCCAATTGACATCCCTCACATACACCATTAATTTCTTCCAGATATGGAAGACCATAAACCATACTTCGGTCTCTCAACTGTTTGAGACTTTTGAGGTTTAAGTGGCCTAACCTTTTATGCCAGATCCAAGTGCATTCAGTCACACTAGCCCTTAATGCAATTTGATCATTTTGCATTAAAGATAAAGGATAACACCTATTATTTTTCATCTTGACCTTGATAACCAACTTGTCAAGTGAGGGGCCATCAAAGATGCAGCACATGCCTCCACCAAATAGCAAATGATACCCATGTTCATCCATTTGACCAACGCTCAACAAATTCTCCTTTAATCCAGGTAGAAACATGACTTCTCTAATGTATTTCTTGCTAGCACTAGTTTTAATCACTAGTGAGCCTATGCCTGCAACATCCACCAAATTTCCAGTAGGCATCTACACCTTTCCACAAACATTTGTCCTTATATCAACAAGCAATTCTGCACTTCCAGTCATGTGGTTGCTACAGCCACTGTCAATATACCAGTTTCCATTCATTTTCACATCAGAAATGACACTATTGGCAAAAATAGGTTTCCAGTCATCTCAGTTTGATTGACACAGTTGGCCTTTTGAGTAGCCTTACCTATGGTGCATTCCCTAGCCAAATGTCCAAACCTATCACAGTTAAAACATTTAGGCTTCCCCTTATATCTACACTCACCAAAGTGAAATTTGGAGCACACCTTGCACTGTGGTTTAGCAGCATCTTGAGTTGTCTATTGTGGTGAACCAAAACTGTGATTTGGTGCATAATTGTTCTGCTGAGGCTTTCCTTTCAATTCCCATGGTTTTCCCTTAGGATTCCAATTCTTTTGAGACTTAGAATGATTCTTGCTTTGTTGCCCATTTGAATTCACAGAAAGAGAGGCGAATGCCCTTTTAGTGGTATCCACATTATGTAGATCAAACCTTTGTTCTTGACTTTTCAAAATAGCTACAACTTCTTGCAATTCCACAGTCTCCAAACTTTTGGTATTTTCAATAACCAGACAAATAGGGTCATATGGCTTGCTAAGGCTAATCAACACTTTCTGAACAAGTCTCTCATTAGTCAGAATCTCACCAAATGTTTTCATTTGGTTTATCAAATCATTTAGCCTAGTCAAATAGCCAGATAAGGTTTCATCATCTCTCATCCTAGCATACTCAAATTCACGCCTCAGATTTTGTAATTTTACAGACCTTACTTGATCACCACCATGGTACTCTCCATACAACAAATCCCAAGCCATTTTTGATGTTTCAGCATTAGCTATTCGTGGGAAAATCTGATCTGAAACCGCAGTCTGAATAATGCCCAGGGCCTTAGCATCTTGCATATAGACAGCTGTTGTTTTCTCATCAACTTCCTCTTCTGAGCCTTCTTCAACCTTCTTCTTTGAGTATGAGATCGAAATCCCCTTTTCAACCTGTTTCCATAACCCGTGCGACTTGAAGATCTTCGTCATTCTGATTCTCCAGAATTCCTAATTCTCGCCGGAGAAGATCGGAGTTCTTACTTCAGAACTTCCAGATCCAACCATCTTTTAGCTCAGATGAAATGAATCACAAGTCGAAAACTGATTTTGCGAACGTTCTGTAACTTCGCCTCAGCTCAACCAAACTTGAGTGGAGCTCAATTTCTTATGCCCAGATCTTAATCAATCGAACCTGGCTCTGAGGCCATGTTAATGTTTAGCTATTCAAGCTGGGTTTGTGTATTGGTTAGAGAGAAAAGAAGAAATTCTAAGTGCTTTTGTATAACTGCTTTGCTTGCTCACAGAGTATGTGAGCAGTGTTTTTGTATATATTCATCTGTAAGAAAATGAGCTCATATGGCATGTACAAGACCGTTAGCTCTGAGCTGGATTCACACACTCATCAATGAATCTCAGCCATCCATCATGCTAAACTAATGGATCACACAAATTACAATAAAGGCCATACACTTGGTTTAATTACCAAAGTGAATACACAATTAACTACAAGGCATATTTATGCTAAGCTTTGATAAGCTCACAGCTTATACACTAACAATTTTGACGTTTTGATTTTTGTTGAAAAATGTGCTGAAAGGAATTTAGAATATATCTTTTGGTCTTTTATTTATTATGGCATACATTTAATGCATCTTCTTGTGAAGATTATTTGCATTTTACTGAATGTATATGGACTTGGTTTTTGTATTTTTCAAAATGTACCTTTTTGGCCTTGTATAAGATATAGGTGCCGTGGGCACAATACATGCGTGAGCAATTGTCGAAGCCAAGAGCGTTACATAATCTGAAACATAAAATGGTGATGCAGAAGGGCAAGCTCCTTTACTTGATGTAGTACTTTAGATGATTGAAGTTCCAAGGGTGACCGAGGGTCTAGTCATTGGAATCGCTCAATATGTAAGTGCCTGAAAATGGATGACCACTATGGAGATGAACTTAGGGGTGGCTTGCCTTCGGTAATGATTCCCTTCAGCAAGGTTTGGAGGATCTGCAAAAGGAAAGTGCAAGGTTAAGACATTCTTAGCTAAATATGAGTGAGTGAGTAATTCGGCAGAGTAATGGGCATTTCAATCCAATCTTCCAGCACCAACCCAACCACCTTCTCCCATCCCTCCTCCCCCTCCCAACAACCTCCTCCTCCTAACTCAACCTGCTCCACATCCTACAGCCATGACCCAACCACCCCAACATCCACCTTATACCCTCACTCTTCCACCCATCGACCCAACATTATGCTCCCCTCCTTTTGCAATCACATCTCTCTCTCTCTCTCTCTCTCTCTCTCTCTCTCTCTCTCTCTCTCTCTCTCTCTCTCTCGCACACAAACACACATCAAACTCCAAATCTAATTCCTGCATTGCCCAAAATCCCTCTTCATGAACCCAAGGTAAGTGACTTTGAGACTTAAAAGCATAAGAAAATTTACAATAAAGGGTTGTGGAAGTAATTGGGGAGGGGCTACAATACTTGGCCAAAATATCGAGAATTGTGCTTGAATTGCTTGGAATTGAAATTACAGAAACAAAATTTATCAAATTGAAACAATAGAGACGTTAATGATAAAGTGGTAAAATACAGGAACCGAAAATGACTTTAAATAAATTAAGAAGATAATATCCCAAATCAGAAAAGTAAAGACGGGTGTTGTACACGTAACATATGATTTCTTCCTTCCTTAATTTTCATTTGACATTTGTCCCTTGCCCAAAACATGCCAGTTTATACGTGCCATTTTAGCTCTGAATATTTTTCAAAAGAAAGCATCAGCTCGTTCTCAAAAGGCACCCTCATCAGCTAGCTCTTGAACTTTCCCAAACCTACAGAATGGCAAGAGAAACGAAAGGAAATCCTATGAATCCAAGAAAAAAAGTGGCAACTAGAGCAGCTATGAGCAGCAAAAACAAAGAGCAATCAGGAGAACAATGCCAACCCAAAGCTCCTTGCAGCAAATTCCAACAACTTCCACAGGCTTTGGTCTTGGAAATCCTCTCAAGCCTCTCCATCAAGACCCTCTTGAATTGTAGGTGCGTGTGCAAAGACTGGCTTTCTATAATTTCTGACCCTCAATTTACTAAGCTCCACTCTTCAAGATCACCCGTTGGCATCTGATCAAGACCTACCCCCCTATAAGAAAATCAAGGAAACTTGATTTTACCCATATAGAAGATTGTGCTGGTTCTGATTTGCTGCTTGAGAAAATAAGGTTTAATCCCCAAAACAGCCTACCCATTGGGGCCATGCCTGAATTTCGTTTGATAAACTCATGTAATGGTCTGCTCTGTTTGTCTGGACCCAATAGAGATTACCCATGTTTTGTGTGCAATCCAATTTTGGGGTGAGCACATCAGCATCCCTCCTACCAATCTAAGTAGAAACAAGTGCTTTTTTGTTGGGCTTGGTTTTAGCAATGGGACCAATGAGTACAAGTTGTTGCAAATGACCAATGGCACTGAGGCTGAGATATACACCATTGGTACAGGAGTGTGGAGAAGTGTTGGAAATGCTCCTGGGGATATTGATCAGTTACCCTTCAATCCTTTTCTGCATGGAGCTCTTCATTGGGTATCCTATAGTAGCACAGTTCCTGATTTTATACATTCTTTCCACTTCGAAAGAGAACAATTTCGACCACTGCCTGTGCCTAGCTTACTGGGAAATCGATTTTCAGATTGTTATATACTGGAAGTGGTAGGTGGGTGTCTCTGTTTATCTGTGTTTGATGATGATTATAGCAAATTCGACATGTGGGTTATGAAGGAGTATGGTGTTCAAGAGTCTTGGACTAAAGTTCTTGTTTTCGGAAACTTGTATGAGTGTCCAGAGGAACGAATCTGTCATGTGTATGAACCAATTATGTTTTTGAGGAATGGGGAAATCCTGCTGTTGTTCAATAATTGTGCTGTTGTTTGTTATAATCAAGAAACAAAGAGTTTCAGGGAAATAAGAATTACTTGGACTCGGTCACCATTTGAGGCAATTGCTTACAGTCCATCCTTTGTTTCCCTCTACAACGTTTCAAAAGGTGAAGAGGTGAAGAGGTACTAAAATCCTATATATTTCAAAGATATACATGCTTTCATTTACTTACATTTCTCTGCCACAACTTTTATTTTTTGCTTTATATTTGTGGAAGTTCATGTTTGTCCGAAAATGCAATCAAGGTATTGCATTTCAAAACTTGCACAAACTTTTTGTTTCCTAGGCTCTTCTAATTTTCCTTAACATTGCATATGAAAGTCTGGAATTATTCATATAGCTCATACACATGTAACAAGTTCAATGCTTAAGATCTGTTGATAGAATGATTAATAAGGCTACAGTTACTAAAAAAATACTTGTCACTTGCCAATGCTATGATCATTTGCTATTCATAAGGGAGTGAACCCCTCAGGTTTGTTATCATGATAGGTTGAGTTTGTTCAAGAATTTTGTTAACTAGGAATTTGAACAATAACACGGATGCTTCAGTAAGTGGCTGAGACATTGGTCACTGATCAACTCATTTTAGCATGCTTACTGTGTATGATATGAAGGGTACGACGCGGTAAGAAATTGGGTAAGAAATCTGGAAAGCTGCCTTTGGAAGGGAGTTATGATGAGTGTGCCGGCTTTGGTATGCCACCCCGCAAGTCGACAAAACTTAACTCAGGCTATGGATGCCCTGCTTTTGAGGAGGGTCTTCCTTGAGCCATAAATCCTCTGTGAGTTGTCGTAGTTCTTATTATCCATCTGTTCTCTTGTGCTAGTGTGTTGCTGAATAATTTCATTTGTTTTCAGCTGGATTTAACTCGGAGGATAAGGACTGCATTCACTCTATGCGGTGGCCACTTGGGTTATGTTGTAAGAGGTTAAGGTTCCCAATGTGCCAACAATGTTTCGAGTCTTTTGACGACACCGGTTCCTCATGAGAGCTTCTCGATTGCTTGTATATAGGTTTTTGTAATACCCAAGTAGCTCTCCTTTTGTTCTTCAGAATAGACAGAAAAAGGCAGCATTTTGTTGTATAGCTATTACAGTAACTCTGCCCCTATAGATCAATCTGCAAGTGATGACTTGTCTAGACAAAAACCTGGTTGAAACTTTTGTTAAACTTTGTATCAATGTCCAAGTGCCTATTTACAACCTTATTCAGCACCCGCCCATCTCACCAATTTCTTCTCTTTTATGGCATGTTTGCTTACTTATCCGGATGAGAATGATTTGAATTGAAGAGGAGTTGGATTGAGGAGAGTCATAATCCAGATTCCTATTGAAGTTGTTTATTAAACAATACGGAATCGGAGTAGGAGTGATACTGATTCCTTATAAGTTGTTTACTAAATTACTAAATTAAATCCTTATTTAATTCTGATTACGGAATAATAAAAATGACATTAATGTTTCTTGATCAATTCAACCAACACAAGAAACTTTTCAATGTGACGGTTACATTAGCGTAACACATTCATGTAGTCTGAAGTGATCTTGGCTGTTTGTTTTCGTTTCTTACGATCTATACCTGCATCAAAATGGGATTTTATTCTTCTGATTTTACAAAAGAACTGTAGTCTCAGTTGGTAGTCATAATTGTTTTTATTTTTTTATAACTAAAATCAAATCAGTCAGAAAGGGTTTTGGCTCCATTAAGATTTTTATGGTAAGGATTGGTTAAGGAGGTTTAATCTTAGTTATTGGATTGCATATAATGTATATTTTAAAAAATTATTTAATCTACTAACAAATATAATGAATGACTGAGATTAGAACTCCTTGACTAATCCAAAACTTCTATGTTTAAGTTTGGTAAAAAATTCCTACTATTATTCAATGGATTGCAGGCGTGGTATATATTAAAAAATTATTTAACACACTAACAAATATAATGGATGGGCTAAGATTAGAACTCCTTAACTAATCATTAACAAAAATCCTTATTGGAGAAGTTCCCTAACGTAAAGGGTTTGGCTCCATTAAGAACTTTATGTTAAGGATTGGTTAATGACTTATAATTTAGTCATTGAATCGGATGTACGGTATATTATTAAAAAAAATTAATAAACCCACTAACATATCTAATGACTTTATGTTAAGGATTAGTCTACGACTTCTACTCTTATTTAACCTACTACTGTATCTAGTAGATAACTGAGATTAGAAATCTTTAACCGATCCTTAACTAAAATCCTTATTAGAGAAGTTCCTTGTCGTAAATACTATTATGTGGATGCTGTTGTAATTACATTTAATATTGTCATGTATTAATCCAATATAATATCACTTTGGATAATATTTTAAAGTATAACTAGAAGACTGGACCGGACCAGACCAGATTCAAATTAAAATTCGGTTGGTCCATTGAGAGGTGACCCCCTAGCCCACTACAAGAGTGACAAGTGGGACAACCCAAAAACGTAAAGTATGCTCTTGCCGCCAAAAGCCCATTTCAATGCTCTTCTGGTATTTCTTCAACGATCTTGACTGCTGATGAGTCTCCTCCTGACACTCCAAGAAAAAAGAAAACAAAGAAACCCCAAATGAATAATATGAATCCAAGCAAAAGAGCAGCAAATAGAGCAGCGACTTGCAGCAAAGACAGAGAGCGATTAGGAGAAAAATGGCAGCAACCCAGAAGTCCTTGTCCCTGCACCAACTTCCAGCAACTCCCACAGGCTATAGCCATGGAGATTCTCTTAAGGCTCTCCATGAAAACCCTCTTCAACTGCAGGTGCGTTTGCAAAGAGTGGCTTTCTCTAATTTCTGACCCTCAGTTTATTCATCCCCACCTATCAAGATCAAGAATTGGCATCTTGATCAAGAAGTATCCCCATAATCTGAAATCATGGAAACCTGAGTTGACCCATGTAGAGGAATGTGCTGAATCTGATTTGTGGGTAGACACAATAAACTTTACCGACAATGTACCCATTTCCGAATTCGGTTTGGTAAACTCATGCAATGGTTTAGTTTGTTTGTCTGGACCTCATAAATATGACCCATGTTATGTTTGTAATCCAATTTTGGGTGAATTCATCATCATTCCACCAACCCAGAAAGGTAGGGGCTGGTGCAGTTTTGTTGGGTTTGGTTTTAGCGTCAGGACGAATGAGTACAAGCTGTTGCAAACGAGCTTATCTGACAACTTCTGCAAGGCTGAGGCTGAGATATACACCATTGGTACAGGGCTTTGGAGAAGCATTGGAAATGCTCCTATGGACTTCCCTGAGTTACCATTCAATTCTTATCTGCAAGGAGCTCTTCATTGGGTTTCCTATGGTGGTAATATGTCTATGCTTATAAACACTTTCAACTATGGAACAGAGCAATTCCAACGACTACCCTCACCTTGCTGCTTTGGACAAAGAAGAAGCAATCTTCAGAGTCTTTTAAGTTGGGAGTGTTAGGAGGTTGCCTCCTTTTATCTGTGTTTGATGACGAATCTAGCAAAATTGGCATGTGGGTTATGAAGGATTATGGTGTCCAAGAGTCTTGGACTAAATTTCTTGTCATCGTTGAAAACTTATTTCGAAGGACACCTTTCTTGAGTTTGTATGAACCTATCATGTTTTTGAGTAATGGGGAAATCTTGATGGTGCACAACAATTGGAATGTTGTTTGTTATAATAAAGAAAAAAAGAGTTTCAGGGAAATCAGAATTACTGGGACTCAGTCGTTATTCTCATTCGATGCAATTGCTTACAGTCCATCCTTTGTTTCACTCTACGATGCTTCAAGAGGAGAGGAGGTGAAGAGGTACTAAAATTTTACTTCAAAAATATACATGCACAAACATATATTTCTCTGCTACAACTTCAATTTTGCTTTTTATTTCTGGAAGTAGATATTTTGTAGGCAATATTGTTATAAGGATCCTGCATATGTGTAAGCTCACGAGATCTAACAAGTTCAATTGAATGCCTATTACTTACCAATACAAGGCTCCAGTTATTCAGAAAATTTGCTTGTCACTTGCTAAGACTATGATCATTATGAGAGATTTTTTAGTTTGATATGCAGGGTAAGAACCGGGAATAAATCTGACAAGCTGCTTGCTGTGGGGAGTTCTGATTGTGTTGGTTCTGGGATGCCACCCTACAAGTGCACAAAACTTAACTGAGGTTATGGCCAGCCTGTTTTCTTGTGACCATCTTCTGTTTTCTTGAATACCAAATGGTTGTTGCTGTCTCCTTTTTTGCTGAACAATTTCAGCTGGATTTCACTTTGAGGATAGGGAATGAATGTACTATATGTGGTAGGGACTTGGGTTATGTTTTCAAACGTAAGGGGTTCTGAATGTGTCGATAATGTTACGAAACACAAGTTCATGCTGAGAATTCTTGAATTGCATTTTAGTTTCTAGGTTGTTCTAATCCCCAAAGCAACTATCAGCCAAGTTAGAAAATGGCTTCTCTTTGTTACTTCGCCATCAGACAGTAACTCTGCTTCTATACAACATAATGCTAGTAAGATTTGTTTTGTGACCTTTTTATGAATGTCTAAAGTGCCTAGTTACAATCTCTTTTTTGGGTCCTTTGAGATTATCCTTATGGTTACAGGAAATTGTTGAAGGCTAACTTCTTTTATGGATTTAGTCAATTATAAATAGAAAATAAAATAAAAACCAGAGAGCAGATGGTGGCAATCGTTTTAAGCTCATCTTTCATATGATCTCAGTTTACCATGTCATTCTTCCTCCTCTATCAAGGCCTCAAAGAACCTGAATTTGAAAACAGTGATTAAAATCACACAAGGAAGAGGAACCAAAGAAGAAATTGTGAGAAAACAAAATGCATGCACATTTGACAAGATTTCGTGTTCCAGCCGAACCCAGATGGGAAAAGACCTGAGATCACGTGCAACTTTTGTTTTGGGGCACTTCACTTGGGCAATCTTTCTAGAGGGAAGGGATCTAAAGCAATGTTATTTGATTGTCTCATTCAATATCATTGCTCGCATAATATTGTTATCGGATTGTCTAATTCAATAATGCTCAAAGCAATCTACTTAAAATCATCATTAATTTTAGACTTAATTAGTCTAGTGTAACTCGAATGATGTCTCAATCCCACTATGTCGTCCAAAAGTTACTTTGACTCAACTTGTTCCCTAAATTTGCCAATGAGGTCTAGCCAAGTGAAAATAGCCTTAACTTGAAGATCATAATCTCATATTCGGATCTCCATGACATTGATGTGTGTGAGAAAACCCTCATTTTCCTACCTAACTTTCACAACCAAAAAAAAAAACCTTGTTCCCAAAATTCACTTTTCGCATCTTACTGTCATGTGGCATGCCACGTAGGAGCCACATGTATACAAAATTAATAAAAATTTGTTATTTAACAAATTTACTTTAATTATAAAAATAATATTTTCAAATGAATTAAGGCAAAAGTTTCCCGCCAAAACCTCTTCCACTAGCAACTGCGGTTTCATCCTCCTTATAAAAGCAGCAAGAAACACAAACGCTCTTTTGAGCTCGCCGGTATTCCTTCCTCCGAAATTTAAACCCCATCCCGGTCCCCGGCTATAGGTTGAGGAGAAACTATGGAAACCCTCAAAATGAAACAGAGGAAGATGGTAGCAATCTAGATCCCTTCAAATTGTTAGAGTTTGTATAGGAAAAGACACTTGCATTTAGTCCCACATTGGAAGAGAGTAGTTTTCCTTCCATGGTTTATAAGCACCAACACATTAGAAATACTAAATGGAGCATGGGCCTAGTGAAGGCAAACTTGGGCCTCAAATGGTTTGAGCTTGGATTATATGTATATTTGTGTAATAAATATATATATATATTAATTGTCAAAAGATGGGCCTTGGGCTTGGCTCTTGGGCTCTGTTGATTTAATTAATAATTTATTTTTATTAATTGAAAATTCGTTTTTTTTCTTCAGATAAAACCAAAATCTGAAATTCGAATTAATTAAACAGTTAAATGAAGAGGTGTCAGAGCTCTATATATTGACAATTAATTGTCAAGAGAATTCATACCATTGTTCGCTAGAAATCAAAGCCACTGTGCTTCGGCTTAAATTTAAGATAGTTTAATCCTGGTGGACAGACTCCTATCGAACTATAAGCACAAGGGTAGAAGAGAAATACTGTCTAAAGGACATTGCAAATCTGCAGGACTCTATCTACAATTCAAGTCAGTATTCTACAATCTATATTACTGTTGTATTGATTCAATTATATTTACATAAAATATATTAGTTGGTTTTTTTATTATTCTGTTATTTTGGGTTTATACTGATTGTTCTACAACACAAATTCCAACAGCTTCCTCTGGCTACGGTCATGGAAATTCTCTCAAAGGCTGTCCATAAAAACCCTCTTCAACTGCAAGGCGCGTTTGCAAAGATTGGCTTTCTATAATTTGTGACCCTCAATTTGCTCATCTCCGAGCCTCAAGGTTACATTTTGGCATCTTGATCAAGAGCCATTCCTTCGTAAAAAATTCAAGGAAAATTAAATTCACCCAGATAGTAGAATTTTCTGGTTCTGATATGAGGCTCGAGAAAATGAGGTTTGCATTTGCTCCCAAAAGCAGCCTACCCATTTTACAATTTCGTATGGTAAACTCTTGTGATGGTTTACTTTGTCTGTCTGGAGAAAGTAGAGATGACCCTAGAGACGAATCAGTACAAGGTGTCGCAATCTTTTTATCCGATGGTCGATCCAGAGTGTCGCTCAATCGACTACCTTGAGGTTGAGATATACACCATAGGAACGGGAGTTTGGAGAAGCATTGGAAATGCTCCTAGTGACTTTCTAAGTTTCCCTTCAGTGCTCTTCTCCATGGAGCTCTTCATTGGGTCTCCCTTGCCGTTGAAAGTGCTGAATGCATACATTCTTTCAGCTTTGAAACCGAGTAATTTCGATCACTACCCTTGCCTAGCAACTATGGAAGAGTAAAGAGAGAATTTCATGATCTTTTAAAGTTGGGAGTTTTAGGAGGTTGTCTTGTTTTATGTGTGTTTGGTGGTTGTGCTTCCAGGGAACTTGACATGTGGGTTATGAAAGATTACGGTGTCCAAGAATCTTCTTGTTATTGAAGACTTGTACATGAAAGATGCGTCCTGTCACTAATTATATTTCAAAGATATACATGCAGAATATATAGTTGCACTTCTATGTTATTAGTTTAGCTTTTCCTTTTATTTGTGTAAGTTGTTGTTCTGTATTGCATTCATGCAGAAATATTTTCCATCCTGAGTTCTGCTTACCTCCCTTAATATTGCATAAGAAAGCATGGAAAATAATGGTGTACAATCTCAACTTCTCTTCAGGTTTGAGGATGTGGTGGTGTTGTGTGTCATAGAGCCTAAACTTAAGCCGGAATTTTATGGTTGCGTTACGGTTGGGTTTCTTTCTCACCAAAATCAAAGTGGTATCAGACTTTCTTTGGTTAAATATGAGTTCAGCTTGTTAGTATCTGTATGTGAGTGTGTCTTGCGGCAATGCTGAGCGTTATAGAGCCTTCTTGTTTCGTTTATTGAATTATCTCCTTCATGCTATATTGATACTCAAAACACATCTTGAAGAATTTTGAGGAAGCAGAGCATTACAGAGCCCTTTTGTTTCGTTTAGGTTAGCATGTCATCATCAAACCGTGTTATCAAGCTCCTTCATATGAACCTACACAAGACCTAACAAGTTCAACGCCTATTATTTACTGCTACAAGGATATATAGTTATTCAGGAAATTTTCTTGTCAGTGGTTAACACTATGATCAATGGCCTATGGACTTAGGAGTGAACCCCTCAGAGCTGTCACTCTGATAGATTTTGAGTTTGTTTAAGCATGTCATTAACCATGAATTGGTACAATACATGGATGTTTGAAGTTGAACCTCTGGGGAGGGTAATGAGACACTGGTTAATTATGTCAACTGATTTTGGCATGATTACTGTTTGAGATGAAGGGTTCGAGGCAGTAACGTTCAAGATGGTAAGAAATCTGACAAGCTGCTTGCTGAAGGGAGTTATCGTTATGAAGTAAGTTTTCGTAGCTCATATATTGATGGCTTAAATGTTAAAATAGTCCCTATGTTTTATTATGTTGGCCAATTTAATCCCTGTGTTTTTAATTTGGCCAATTTCATCCATGTGTTTAGGACCGTTAGCCAATGTGATCCAATCCGTTAAATTAATGTTTAAAAAATTTAAAAACTGTTTAAATATTAATATAAAAATAGATATATTTGAATTCAATTTTAAAATGAATAATTAAATAAGATCTAAAATTTTGGTCTGGGCTTTTAGTCCCCTTGTTACAAAAAACATAATAATAATAAAATCTAAAACTAAAAGAAATTAAAATCAAAGGATGATACCACCATCCAATCTAAGCCCCCACCCCCACCGCCCTTATTTCTTTTCTCTTTCTCCCAACAACAACCCACCCAGCTACTTTCCGCAGCTAGACCCAAAGGCCCCAACTCCCCTACACGCACCCACCTCTTGAACAAGAATCCTTCCCACCCCTGAGCTCTCTCTCTCTCTCAAACAACCCCTACCGCCCGACCATGTCCCAACAAGATCTTCCTCAACCCCACCATTCCCTGGCCATTTGTCCCATCCCCAGCCGCGCCGCTAGGATCCTCTAGCCCACTCTGGCCAAATTGAAAACACAGGGATTAAATTGACCAACATGATAAAACACAAGGACTATTTTAGCATTTAAGCCTATATTGATAAGACCGTCACCCACACTACATCACCCTGCACTATCCATATCACCCTTCTATTTCATTGCATAGCTTAGTTTCTATTTCCCGAAAAGCTAGGAAACGGTTATCCTTTTCTCTCGGTATGCTTGCCATATGGCATCACCCAAAATCATGTATAAAGTACCTAATGTTGGGAAAGATGGCGAAAAATCAAAAAGCCAATAAATAAATATGACACTCCCAGGATCTGACTTCTCCCAACCTTGTGTAAATAAAATGGGCAAAATTAACACTCTATCTTCCACAAAGAAAATAATGGGAATACAATAATAATCTCACCAAACACCGGTGGCTAAACTCTCTCTTGGTTTTTCTCTCAAGATGATTTTCTTTCTCACACAAATAAGGCCTTCTTATCTCTCAAAACTGTCTAAGTTTTGGTTTTCTAAGGGATGCATTGAATTGAAAGAAGACAACTGCTTTTATAGCCAACATTCCTAACTAATTGGTGGCCATGCATGAGGGAGAGTTTTTCTCATTTTCTCTTCCATTCGTTTTCTTCAAATTTTCTCATCCTTTCTTTCATTTTATTTTAATATTTATTTTCCTTCTTTTTCTCTCCTCCACTAACTAGGGAAACCCATCAATCTCCCCCTCCCAACTTAGGTGGAAGGCTCCAGCAGTCCAGTTGCTCTTCTGCAAAATTCGTACTTGCCCTTAGGTAAGGACTTGGTCATCATATCTGAACTATTGTCATCAATATGGATTTTCTCAAGCTGTAATTGCTTAGACTCCAACACATCACGTATCCAGTGATATTGCACATCAATGTGCTTTGACTTCTAGTGAAAACTCGGATTCTTGCTCAAGTGGATCGCACTTTGACTATCACAATGCAAAATGTATTTATGCTGCTCTTGCCCTAATTCTTGTAGGAATTGCTTCATCCAGAACATTTCTTTGCATGCTTCAATAGCTGCAATAAACTCTGCCTCTGTAGTTGATAGAGCAATACATTTCTGTAACTTTGATTGCCACGAAACTGCTCCCCCTGAAAATGTAATCAGGTATCCTGAAGTAGATTTTCTGGAATCAAGATCTTCTGCCATGTCTGCATTTGTGTAGCCAATCAATGCAGGTTTTCCACCTCCAAAGCACAAACTCATTTTGGAAGTACCCCTGAGATATCTGAGAATCCACTTCACAGCATTCCAATGCTCTCTGCGTGGTTTAGACAGGAATCTGCTTACAACGCCAACTGCGTGCGTTATGTCTGGCCTCGTGCAAATCATTGCATACATCAAATTACCAACAGTTGAGGAATATGGCACCATAGTCATGCTTTCTTTTTCTTTCTCACATGTAGGACTCTTCTTTGAACTAAGCTTGAAGTGACTAGGAAATGGAGTAGAAACTGGTTTTGCTTTATCCATGTTAAACCGCTTTAGTACGTACCTTCTCGATATAACTTTCTTGTGATAACCTCAACTTCCGATTTTTTCTATCACGGGATATACTCATATCGATGATTCGTTTTGCGGGTCCTAAGTCTTTCATAGCAAAAGACTTGCTCAACTCTTTCTTCAGCTTGCTAATTTTGTCATTGTTTTGTCTTACGATCAACATGTCATCAACATAGAGAAGAAGTATGATGAATTCACCATCATCAAATCTTTTCACAAATACACAATGGTCTGAAGTAGTTCTCCGATATCTGTGTTCAATCATGAAGGAATCAAACTTCTTGTACCATTGTCGAGGTGGTTGGTTGAGTCCACATAAGCTCTTCTTCAGCCGACATACCAAATCTTCTTTTCCTTTAACTTTGAATCCTTCTGGCTGCTCCATGTAGATTTCTTCTTCAAGATCTCCGTGAAGAAAAGCCGTCTTCACATCTAGTTGTTTGATCTCGAGATTCAGGCTTGCAGCCAAACCGAGTACAACCCGTATGGATGACATCTTCACTACAGGTGAGAAAATCTCTTCAAAGTCAATTCATTTCTTCTGACTGTAACCTTTCACAACTAGCCTTGCCTTAAACCTGGACTTAGAGTTGTTTTCTTCCGCCTTCAGTCGATACAACCATTTGTTCTTGAGTGTTCTTCTACCTTTTGGTAGGTTCACCATATCGTATGTGTGGTTATCATGTAGAGATTGTATCTCTTCATGCATGGCTTTCAACCACTCATCTTGTTGATTATGAGTCAATGCTTTTTTATAACATTCTGGTTCTCCCCCGTCTGTTAGGAGAACGTAATCATCTGGAGAATACCTACTCGGAGGTCTCCGTACCCTGGTCGATCTTCTTGGTTGGAATTCGGCCGCTGGCTTTTCATGGGCTTGTGCTTCTAGCCCCTCATCAGCTACATCATCTACTATACCATCAATTTTATGATCATCACTCATGTCATCATCAACTAGTTTATTTATAATAGGATCACTAACTTGATCATCAGTATCATTGGATTCATCTCACCTGTCATTGTGCTCTAATGGAGGAGGAACTGGATCCAAGTTAGCTGGATATTCTCTAGGATTATCAAGTTTATCACCTCTTCGAATGTCTTCAATGTTCTAATCTTCAAAGAAGACAGCATCTCTACTTCTAATAATCTCTCTAGCTACAGGATCCCATAACCTATAACCGAATTCTTCATTCCCATATCCTACAAAGATACATTCTTTCGACTTCATGTCGAGCTTGGATATTTCGTCTTTAGGAATATGAATAAAAACTCTACAACCAAAAACTGTCAAATGATTGTAGAAAACATCTTTTCCCGACCAGAACTTGTTCGGGACATCACTATTCAAAGGTGCTGAAGGAGAAAGGTTGATTAGATCAACTGCAGTCGTCAAGGCTTTACCCCAAAAACTTTTGGGCAGCTTGGCATGAGATAACATTGTTCTGTTCATTCTCTCAACTATGCCATTATGCTGAGGAGTCTTCAGAACAGATCGTTCATGCTTGATTCCATTACTTTTATAGTAGTTTCTAAACGCCCCCATATATTCTCCTTTATTATTGGTGTGAATACATTTCAAGCTTCTACCAATCTCTCATTCAACTCTAGCATGAAATTGCTTGAAAACTTCATATACTTGATCTTTTGTTCTAAGTGCGTAAGCCAATACCTTCCTGGAATGATCGTCAATAAAGGTGACAAAATATCTTGTACCACCAAGAGTATTAGTGGTCATAGGACCACAAACATCAGAGTACACAACATCCAATACATTGGGTTTTCTTTGTGCATGACCATGTTGAAACAAAGCTCTATGTTGCTTGTCAAGCAATGTGTGCATGATTTTAGAGGCATGCTTTTCTTCATCCAAGTCTCGCTCATGTGACTGAGCCATTTATGTCATAGCTCAATCGAGTCTTCTGCGAGAGCATTTACGTACCCATTACTGACTTTTTCATGTGTCATGTATAGGGTGTTCTCCTTCTTCCCTCGTGCTAGGACAAGAGAGTTCTTGTTGAGTTTCCATTTCCCTTCAACAAAGACATTAGTGTATCCTTCATCGTCAAGTAATCCAGTGGAGATTAGATTGAGACGTATGTCTGGAACATGTCTCACATCCTTGAGGACCAAGTGACAACTTGTGTTGGTTTCAAGGGAAATATCTCATCTTCCCATGATCTTGGACAATTTGTCATTTCCCATCCTCACATTACCAAAATCTCCATTGGTGTAAGATGTAAAGAAGTCCCTCCGTGAGGTGACATGAAATGATGCACCAAAATCCACTATCCAACATGTATCTTGAGAGGAAAAATTAACGAAGCCATCACCATATAGAATAATTACCTCATTTCCACTAGAGGTAGTTGCGGTCGTGTGCCTAGCATCACTTTTTTTGTTACCTCTATCTTGCTCTCGTTTAAATAACCTGCATTCTCTCTTCATGTGGCATATCCCGCCACAATGGTATCATTCTAGGTCCTTTCTTGTCTTTGACCTTCCTCTCAAGCCATCTATTGACTTGCCCTTTGACTTGTCTATCTTATGAAATTTTCTATTGTTAGTTCTTCCATCATACTCTGAGACGAGGGCTTCTGACTCGACTACTACACCTTGTTCTTTCCTCATTTCTTCTTCATTGAACATGCTATCTTTAACTATGTCCAATGTAAGAACACCTTGAGGAGCTGAATTGCTTAAGGATACTACTAGTGTATCCAAGCTATCAGGCAAAGAGCTGAGTAATTCTAGTGCTTGTAACTCATCATCAAGCACCATCTTCATATTCGTCAACAGGTTGATCAAACCTTGGAAATCACTGAGATGCTCAGTAACACTTCGACCATCTCTGTACTTAAGGTTTACCAACCGTCGGATAACCGATGCTTTATTTTGAGAGGTCTTCCGCTCGTACATGGACAATGATTTTGTCCATAATTTGTACGCATCCGTCTCTTGTGCCACATGGTGGAACACACTTTGATCCACCCATTGTCGGATTTGTCCGACAGCTTTTCTATTCAGAATGCTCCATGCATTGTCTGACTTCCCTTCTGGTTTTTGTCCGAGCAATTGAAGGGGCTCATACAAATCCTTGCGGTAAAGGATGTGCTCCATTCTTGGCTTCCAAATGGAGTAATTAGATGCAGTCAATTTTAACATTGTTGCTGATGATGATGACGATGACTCCTTCATCTTAAATTACACAATAATATAATTTTTAAGCCGAAGCTCTGATACCACTTGTTGGGAAAGATGGCAAAAAATCAAAAAGCCAATAAATAAATATGGCACTCCCAGGATTTGACTTCTCACAGCCTTGTGTAAATATAATGTGTAAAATTAACACTCTATCTTCCACTAAGAAAAATAATGGAAATACAATAATAATCTCACAAAACACTAGTGGCTAAACTCTCTCTTGGTTTTTCTTTCAAGATGATTTTCTTTCTCACACAAGTGAGGCTTTCTTATCTTTCAAAACTGTCTAAGTTTTGGTTTTCTAAGGGATGCATTGAACTGAAAGAAGGCAGCTACTTTTATAGCCAACATTCCTAACTAATTGGTGGCCATGCATGAGGGAGAGTTTTTCTCATTTTCTCTTCCATTCGTTTTCTTCAAATTTTCCCATCCTTTCTTTCATTCTATTTTAATATTTATTTTCCTTCTTTTTCTCCACTAACTAGGGAAACCCATCACCTAATAGCTGGTACAGAGGGATTATGAATGAAACATGAAGTTTCTTTAATTGCTTTCTCTGTATTTCCTTTTCTGCATTCACGAACCTACCATTTGGTATCTAGAGCCTAGTTGCTTTCCATGGGAAAAAAGTCCCAGGCCACTCTGGCGGCAGAGCACGCCACTGTGGCAGAAGTCGAGATGGACTTTTAACGTGACCAACTGGAAGCTCAGTTCTAGAATACGGTGACCACTGTCTCTCAATACCAAGACGTGGTACAGAGCGACGTTGTAGAGATTTTGAAAACGCTTACAACATTAAGCGACCAACAAACCCAGAACTTGACCTTCCAGAAAACGGTGATGGATGAACTTCGGAACTTACAAGCTTGAAGCCTAGGTTTTCCTTGCCTCTCTGTGTCTCCTACCCACCACCTGGTACCAACACAGCCATTGCCATCGACATGGGTGATTCCACCTACAGGTCCGATTTTCAGTTACAGCCAACCAAGTTTGGCCTCTATGCCCACCATGCCTCAGTCATCAATGCCCACTTCCATGGGTTCACCAACAACCCAGACCTTACCAAACCTCTCCACAAACACAGGTCCAAGTTTTATCCTAGATCCATCAATCTCAGGTCACCACCCAAGTATCCCATCCATCTCAGGGCACCACCCAAGTACCTACATCAAACTTTTATTCCACTCGGAAAATTTCCCCACACTATGCCGAGCCCTAATTCCATGTTTAACCAAAATACCTCATACAGCTCCATGAAACCAATGAAGTTGGATCTTCTGTGTTTCTACGGTGAGGACCCATATGGTTGGTTAGCAATGGCCGAATGTTTCCTCGACTACCATGAAGTGGAAGACCACCGGAAGGTCATGGTGGCGGCGGTGCATCTAGGTGGCGATACCACCCTATGGATGAGGTGGTTTGAATCGTGTTACCCACGCGACTCATGGGTCATCTTCTCCGACATGCTACTGCAGCGCTTTGGGCCAGGCGAAACCCTAAATGTCAATATGGGCTTGTCCCACAGTAAACAAACGGGGTCAGTAGCAGAGTACGTGGGCCTTTTCATTAAACTCTCTTGCAGAGCTGTGGGTTGGATCAATGAGCAATTGTTGGGCACCTTTGTAAGAGGGCTTAAGGAGGATATATAGGATGACTTCATTGCCTTGGAACCACAATCTCTGGCCCGCGCCATGGAACTGGCCCAAATATTTGAAAATAAGCTGAAAAAGAAAACAGGCCGAAGAAATTTTAACCCCAGGTTTATTAGTTCCCAATCTACAACCTGTTACAAACCTCAAAGCACACCCAATTTTTCTCCAATTCCTAAAGTAGCTACATATCACTCACCAGCCAACCGCCCAATTTTTCGTCGGACTCAAGCTGAACTTCAAGAACGGCGCCATAAGGGGATGTGTTTTAGCTATGATGAAGCTTACTCTCCAGGCCATCGTTGTAAACAACCCCACATCTTGATGATTGAATCCGAGAGCTTGTTGGACAGGGTGACTGAATCCACCCTAGAAATCCCAGAACCCAACTCAGATGAAGAACACCAATCTTTCATTGAGAACACCACCATACACCTCCATGCGCTAGCAGACAGGAAACGGACCCGCGGAAGGGCAATGCGATTACAAGGTTCTATTGAGGGTATTCCGATAAGGGTGTTCATCGATTCTGCGGCAGATCGTAATATTCTTAACCCCAAAATCGCCACACAGCTGAAGGGAACCATTGATGCTAAGAAGACAGAAAAAATAGTGGTTGCCACGTGTCAATCTTATAGCACAAAAGGTATGGTTTATGTTGTGCAAGTAAAACTCCAGGCCTATGAATTCCAAGGTGATTTTTGCCTCCTCTCTGTCTCTGGATGTGATTTAGTTTTGGGGTTGAATGGTTAGAGACATTGGGACTCATTGGCTGGCATTTCAAAGATAAAATCATGGAATTTACAATGGATGGCAACAATTATCGTTTGCTAGGCAACAAGGGTAATGAGAGCTATGCCAGCCCACCAAAATCTGCAGTATTGGCTGTGCTTGAGAAAGATGAGCAATTTCTACATGCCCTAGCAACCCACGGGATCATGTGTTCCACTCCATTGAGTGTTCAAGGCTTATTAAAGCAATTTTCTGATTTGTTTGAGGAATCTCTAGGGTTACCACTCTCTCGTGCCATTGATGACCGTATTTCATTGCTGCTAGGTACCGGACCTATGAATGTCATGCCATATCGATACCCATATTGGCAAAAAGCTGAAATTGAGTCTCAAGTGAATGCTATGCTGCAAGATGAGATAATTAGGAGAAGTTTGAGTCCTTTCTCCTCCCCAATACTACTGTCAGCAAGAAATAAGGGACTTGGAGGTTCTGTGTTGATTATCGCGCTCTAAATCAGGTGACAGTCAAGGATAAATTTCCAATACCAGACATTGACGAAATGCCAGACGAATTAAATGGTGCAGCTTGGTTATCCAAACTAGATTTGCGTTCCGGGTACCATCAAATTCGTATGTGGGACGCTGACATCCCAAAGACGACATTTAGGACACACGAAGGGCACTACGAATTCCTGGTGATGCCATTCGACTTATCCAATGCTCCATCCATATTTTAGGCACTCATGAACGACATCTTCCGCCCTTATCTGCATAAGTTTGTCCTTGTGTTTTTTGACGATATATTGGTATATAGTCGAACTTTGAAGAAACATGTCCATCACTTAACCACTGTGTTTGAGGTGTTAAGGGTTGCTCAGCTTAAGGTGAAGGCTTCTAAATGCACATTTGCTCAGCCCACTGTCGATTATTTGGGTCACACCATATCTGAAGCAGGCGTATCAGTGGATAAAAAGAAAATTCAGTGCATTGATAATTAGCCAAGGCCTGAGACAGTAAAAGGATTGCGTGGTTTTCTGGGGTTGGCGGGTTATTACTGCAAATTCGTTCATCACGTTAGTACAATTTCCAAGCCCCTAACAGATCTTTTGTGCAAAGACAGCTTCCATTGGAACCCAGCAGTAGAGTCTGCCTTCCAAGCCCTCAAAACTACCTTGACAACCACCCCTGTCCTTCGTCTCCCAGACTTCTCCAAACAATTTGTTGTGGAATCTGATGCCTCGAACAATGGGGTTTGTGCCATTTTGTCCCAAGAGTATCGATCGATAGCATATCTTAGCAAATCTTTTTCCGAAAAGCATCGCTCTTTATCGGTTTATGACAAGGAGATGCTGGCAGTGGAACAATGGCGACCATACTTGTTGGGTCGGGAATTTAAAATTGTCACAGATCACCAAACCATCAAGCACTTTTTGGAACAACGCATAACCACCCCCATTCAAGAAAAATGGATGCTTAAATTACTTGGGTACAACTATGAAATCGAATATCGTGTTGGGTGCAAAAATGCTGGCCCTGATGCTTTGTCCAGGAAGTCAGAATTATTGGCTATTATGGGTTTATCCACTCCTATTTTTGATTGCATCCCACAGATTCAACAAGATTATACTTCCGACAATGAAGCTCAGCAACTTATTTGCCTCCTCCAAGCTGATCCTACCGCCAAACCCCATTATTCATGGCAGAATAATTGCCTCTATTACAAAGAGCGCATCTTTGTCCCTGCTTCTTCTAAATGGCGTACCATGATCTTGGAGGAATTTCACTCCACTCCAATGAGGGGACACTCGGGACAACTACGCACATACAAGCGCATACTCCGTAATTTTCGCTGGCCGGGGTTGAGGAAAGATGTGCAAGCATTTGTGGCAGCTTGCGACACTTGCCAGGGCCAAAATTATGAAGCTTTACATGCACCCGAGTTGCTCTAGCCATTGCCCATACTTGATTCCATTTGGCAAGATATTGCCATGGATTTCGTTGAGGGATTACCCTCAGTCAAAGGGAAGAACGCCATCCTTGTCATCGTTGATCGCTTGTCAAACTATGGGCATTTTATTCCCATCAAACATCCGTATACAGCTTCACAGGTTGCAGATTTGTTTATCCATGAAGTTTTTAAGCTCCATGGGATGCCACAGACCATTGTGAGTGACAAGGACCCAACATTTACAAGCCAATTCTGGACATCTTTCTTTGCACGCCAGGGCACTAAACTCTGCCACAGTTCTGCATACCACCCGCAATCCGACGGTTAGACTGAAGTTCTCAATCGCACTTTGGAACACTACCTTCGTTGTTTTGTGGGGGACAAACCCACGTCCTGGGTTTCTTGGTTACCATGGGCCGAATGGTGGTATAACACCACCTATCACTCCGCCATCAAGATGACTCCATATCAAGCAGTTTATGGCCAACCCCCTCCCTCGGTAGAATTTTATACTCCAGGTTCAACTGCTGTACAAGCTGTTGATCTTGCCTTGCGTGAACGTGACTCCTTATTGCAACGACTCCGACAGAATATGCAAGTTGCTTAGGAGTGCATGTCATTTTTTGCAAATCACAAACGTTCTGAACGCCATTTTGCTGTGGGTGATTGGGTTTTCTTGCGCCTTCAACCCTATCGGCAATCCACCATGGGTACTACTAACTGCCCCAAGCTGTCTCCATGGTTTTATGGTCCATACCAAATCCTTGCTAAGATTATAGCAGTGGCCTACAAGCTTGCCTTACCACCTGGCTCAAAAATTCATAGTGTCTTTCATGTCTCATTGCTCAAGAAGAAAATTGGTTCTCACCTCACTTCATCCCCAACACTTCCTCCCTTGCTCCCTAATAGCTCTGTGCAATGGACCCCAACCAAAATTCTAAATCGCGGGCTTTTCAAACTCCGTAACCAGCCTGTTGTTCGTTGGCTGATTCAGTGGTCTGGTTTACCTGAGGAGGATGCCACTTGGGAGGATGCTACAAACATTGAGCGTCGTTTTCCTCAATTTCAGACCTGAGGACAGGTCTGTTTTCATCAGAGCAGGATTGATAGGACCGTCACCCACACTACATCACCTTGCACTATCCATATCACCCTTCTATTTCATTGCATAGCTTAGTTTCTATTTCCCGAAAAGCTAGGAAACGGTTATCCTTTTCTCTCGGTATGCTTGCCGTATGGCATCATCCAAAATCATGTATAAAGTACCTAATAGCTGGTACAGAGGGATTATGAATGAAATATGAAGTTTCTTTAATTGCTTTCTCTGTATTTCCTTTTCTGCATTCACGAACCTACCATATATCCATCTATCTTCTTAAATCTGGCTCATGGTTATTGTTACCATCTCCTTTTGCTCAACAAGATTTCTCCTTTTCAGCTTAAATTGACTCCGACAATTGAGACTGCATGCGCTATGTGCGGTAAGCAGTTGGGTTATGTCTCAGAGGCTAAGGGTTCCCAATGTGTCAACAATGTTTCGACACAAGTTCCTGCTAGGAGTTCTTCAATTACTCGTGTGAAAAGGTTGTCAGAATGCCAAAGCAACTCAGCTGCTGTTCCTCATGATCAGCAAACACAGAAACCTCATCTTTTTGTTGTTTAGCCATCAGACAGTAACTCTGCTTCTATAGAACAAAATGCAGATGATGACTTGTTTGTTTCGTTAAAACAAAATGCCAAGGTCGACCTACTTTGGAAGAGGATCTAGCGCCAGAATTCCACAAGTCTACCACATTTCATATGTCTATTTATTTCTTTGTGCCCATCTTTTGGCTATCATATCATTTTCTGTTTCCTGAATCAAGCTGATGGTTATCGTTACCGTCTCCTTTTGCTCAACGATATTTTTCTTCTTCTTTTTTCGGCCGGATTATCTTTTCAGATGAAAGGAATTCTCAATATTGACGTTTCGACTTAGGTTCCTCCTGAGAATTCTGCATTACTTCTGTGTAAAGACTGTCTAATTCCAAAGCATCTCTGCTTCTGTTTCTCAGCAAAAACAGAGAAAGGCTTCTTTACAACTCTGCTTTACTCTAGAACAAAATGCATTTGATGACTTGTGGAGAGAAGAGAAACATGACTTGCGGGTTTTGGTTACAAAAAATTGTATGCAAAACAACCAAGAAATGGTCACCATTTCATTTAAAGATTCAGTCAAATAATAAAACCCAAAAATCATACATATTAGTTCATAAAAAATAAAAAAATTCATACATATTAGAAATCCTAATTGAAGCTCATCTTTGCTATGATCTCACTTTCCTCTGCCATTATTCCTCCTCTCATTGCATGCCTTCAAGGCCTGGACTTCTGATGAAATGTTGTTCACAGAAAAAGAAAGAAGGTAATTATTTATTAATTAAAACAACTACCCAAAATACAAGCCTACAGCATCACCAAATGAAAAAAGAGCAAAACCCAGGAAAAAGAAAACTGAAAGAGAAAAAAGAGTGAGAACAAAAATGCATACCCACTTGACAAGATTTCCAATTCCTGTCAGTCTTAACAAGGCAATCCTGCAAACCACAGATCAGATGGGTTTTTCATGATTTTCAGGGTTTAGGGTTTAGGAATATAAAATTCAATAGAAAATAGGGAAATATTACCTGTAAGGATAGGTAGATAACAGAGCAATCTTTGAGTTGTTTTACATTCTCATCATCATCTTCTACTTCTGTGTGGATAGGAGGTGGTGGCTGCTGTGACTGGTCGCTGCCTTCTGGGTTCGGTTGGGTTAGGGGTTGGTTCATTTTTGACTTCTACCAAACCAAGCCCTAACTTACCCACCAAATATTAATACCACTGATTATATGAAAAATTACAATTTATTATTAAATTGTTTTTGTTTTTGTTTTTTAATACAATAAAAAATGATTTTGTGAAAAATTACTAAATATTTGGTAAATTAGAATGACTGAACCATTTTGGGAGGTTAGGTGCTTTCTTCACTTTGTATGTGGCATCACTGCATCCCCCACATTAGCCTAATAGACACCAAGAGTAGAGGGTTCTAGACCTAGCTTTCCTAACTTCCCAACCAAAGAAACCATATGGTCCATATCTCACCTTCTTTTATTTATTTCTGTTGTTTTTCTTTCCAAATTTGCATATGTCAATTTGGCAATTACATTTTTTATTATGGGCTTTACCAAAATATATAAATCTTGAATTTCCCTAACATTGAAACCGTCCAAGGCAACATAACAACATTCTTTTGGAAACCAAAAAAATAAAATAATAATAATAATAATTCGAGGAGAAAATGTGAGATATTTTGTTTTACCACAAAGAAAAAGGTAAATGATGAGATATTTTGTAATTATTACAAATTAATGGAAAGTATGTGTTAAAAGGAGAAATATGAAATAGAATATTGAAAAGAAGTTAATCATTACATCAGTTTTAAGTTAGTAAGATATAACTTAGTTGGTTGAGTTTTTCCACCTCCACTCATATGGGCAGGGGTTCGAAACCCCTAGACACTGACTGAATATTTGTGTAAACCCCCTTCCCCAAATCACTTGTACTAAAAATAAAAAATAAAAATATCAGTTTTAAAATGACGAGAAAAACTGTAGAGCATGTTCCAAGCGTAACTCATCTATATACATGTCATATATTGTATATGTGATGGGAATACATTGCATATATTGTATGTACCTAGTGCATATAATCCGAATTGGTATGATATGGGCATTTCTTTGATAAGATGGTAACATGATAATTCGTTTCATTGTAGATTTAAGTCATTAATTCTATGCATATTCTCAAAAATCACCATGTATAAAAAGAAGAATATTTTTACCAAAATAAATATTGTACACAAATTCATGGATTATCAAACTTTAATATTTCAAAAAAATAGTAAAATTCGTGATATTAATTGTAGCATTTTCTTTCTTTTGGCCCAAGAAATTATTTATGTTGAATCATTAGTGTAGATAATTTTATTATTGTTGAAATTGATATTTATTATGAAATAACTCATGTATATGAGTAGGTGGGTAATATTTCTTAACCATGGTTAGTATAGAAAAGGAAAATTCAATTAACCTTGGTTACTTGGTCTGGTTATCAGGAAAAATAAAAATAAAAACAAAAAGAATTAAAATTACTTCCAAAACTTTTGAGAGAGACAGACGTTCTATTCTCTATTTCTCTTTAGACTAATAATTATTAAGAAAATAAGAAAATAAAACAACTATAAATTCTCTTTCTGATTCTCTGATGTTCTGAGACTGGTCGTACCTTTGATTGCTCGAACAATAGCTGGAATCGGGTGCGTCTCGATCGTCTATTCTCTGATTATGAACCTCAAATTCTTATATTTGTATTGGAGATCTTTAATTACATGAACACCCACTTACCAGATTCTTGAATTTTTTTCCTTGATTCTTGTTTTGATCTAATGGGTTGGTTTTGATTTTAGATTTCTATCGAGTTTCACATTGCTAGCTCATATTTATCATGTGTAATCAAGTGGGTATGTTTCAAACGGATTGATTGTTCAGTTTTTGCTTCTGGGTAGTCTTTTCTATATCTTTGATTGACGTGTTTGATTGATTTTGGTTCTAAAATGTTGGCAACCTTTAATTCAGATACTGAGATTTATATGTGTTGGTCCAGTCCTTGTTGAACGCAATATGCTTTTAGTAATCTGGTTTTAATTGGTTTATTTTGATTGACCAGTAGATGATCTTGTGAGCTGGATTATTGATTGCAGTTATCAATGTTGATATTTGTAATTTGTTGTTTGATTGCAGTTTTGGTAGAAATTATCAATTGGTATTTTGGTATGGCATTAGGAACTGATACATGATACTTGATGCATATTGATATGTATATATTGAAATAGATTGTTTTATGCAGCTGAAATGGCATCAATGGTCGCCAAGGGCAGTAGTAGTTGTAGCACCCAAGTATCTCCCTCAATAACTGTTCAAGAAAAGGGAAGTAGGAATAAGAGGAAATTCCGGGCTGATCCGCCTTTAGGTGACCCGAATAAGATAATTCCTTTACCTCAAACTGAATGCTCAAGTTATGAATTTTCAGCTGAAAAGTTTGAAATCACGCAAGGTCATGGACAAATCGGCGTCTGTGACCTGTGTACTGTTAATAAAGACCATTCTGATGGGTTGAAACTTGACCTCGGATTGTCCAGTACTGTAGGTTCATCTGAGGTTGGGCCAAGCCGGCCCAGAGAGGAATTAGAAGCAGATGAGTTCCAAGATGCCGATTGGAGTGACCTCACAGAAACCCAACTTGAAGAACTTGTTCTAAGCAATTTGGACACAATTTTCAAGAGTGCAATAAAAAAGATTGTTGCTTGTGGTTATGCAGAAGAAGTTGCTACAAAGGCTGTTTTGCGGTCTGGCCTTTGTTATGGGTGTAAAGACACTGTGTCTAATATAGTGGATAATACTTTAAATTTTCTTAGAAGTGGCCAAGAAATTGATCCTTCGAGGGAGCACTGTTTTGAAGATCTACAGCAGCTGGAGAAGTACATATTGGCAGAACTAGTGTGCGTTCTTCGAGAGGTAAGGCCTTTCTTCAGTACGGGTGATGCAATGTGGTGCTTGTTGATTTGTGACATGAATGTCTCTCATGCTTGCGCAATGGATGGTGATCCCTTGAATAGTTTCATGAGTGATGGCGCTTCAAACGGAAGTTCCTCCATGCCGAATCAACCCCAGTCAAAAATAGAAGCCAAAAGTGTTGAATTGAACCTTCTGAGCCCTTCTAAGCCAGTTCCTTCAATTCCTGGTTCTCATAGTTCACAGTATGAGACACCTGCCATTGCAGGAGGGGTTCCCAACATAGCTAAACCAAAAAATTCCCTTGTTCAAAGTGGATCATTCTCTGAGAAAGAGATCACAAATTCCACATCGCATAATGGGGATAAATCTTTTGGTGTTTCTGGAACATCTCAATCTTCTGCAGTAGAGGAAAAACTTTTAAGTAGTAGAAAGGTCCATTCTGTTAGTACCAAGAGAGAATACATGCTTCGGCAGAAGCCACTTCATTTGGAGAAAAATTACCGGACTTATGGATGTAAAGGATCTTCAAGAGCAGGGAAGCTGAGTGGTTTGGGTGGTTTAATCTTGGATAAGAAACTAAAGTCTGTGTCAGACTCTACCGCTGTTAATTTAAAGAACGCTTCCTTGAAGATAAGCAAGGCTATGGGAGTTGATGTGCCTCAAGAAAATGGAAACCACAATCTTTCTTCCAATGCTGGACCTTCTTCGCCTAGAGCATTTAACCTGGATGCTGACAATACTGCTTCTGTTTTGCCGCAGAACAATGTCCCATCCATATTACCTGCTGTCAATACTTCAAATCCACTACCTGCTGTCAGTACTTCAACAGCATTACCTGCTGTCCATACTTCAACACCATTACCTGCTGTCAATACTTCAACACCATTACCTGTAGCCAATACTCCACCTGCATTATCAGTTGCTGATACTGAGCTTTCTCTCTCTCTGCCTACAAAAAACAACTCCAGTTCAGTGTCCCTTAGCTGTAAGTCTGATGCAACTAATTCTATTTTTTCTGGAATACCATATGATAAGCCCTCGGGGCAGTGGGTCCCTCGGGACAAGAAAGATGAAATGATTTGAAGTTGGTTCCAAGGGTGCGAGACCTACAAAATCAGCTCCAAGAGTGGACAGAGTGGGCCAATCAGAAGGTTATGCAGGCTGCTCGTAGGTTGAGTAAGGACAAGGCTGAACTTAAGTCATTGAGGCAAGAGAAAGAAGAAGTTGAACGGCTGAAGAAAGAGAAGCAAACTCTAGAGGAAAACACCATGAAGAAGCTTTCTGAGATGGAAAATGCTTTGTGCAAGGCTAGTGGCCAGGTTGAACGAGCAAATTCTGCCGTCCGGAGGCTTGAGGTGGAGAATGCTGCTCTGAGGCAGGAGATGGAGGCTGCTAAAGTACGTGCTGCAGAGTCAGCTGCAAGCTGCCAGGAGGTATCAAAGAGGGAGAAGAAGACACTGATGAAGATTCAGTCATGGGAGAAGCAGAAGGTGTTGCTCAATGAAGAACTTGTGACTGAAAAACGCAAGTTCAAACAGCTGCTACAGGAAGTAGAGCAAGCCAAAGATCTCCAAGAACAATTGGAGGTGTGTTTTAAATACTTTATTTCCAAGTTCTCCAAATTGAAAATTAATGCATGGGGATATAGAAATTAAATTATAGAGGGGCTTGTTAAAAACATAAATCAGGTGGTTGCATAGGATTTTCCAAATGAATCTAAAATTGTCTGCTATCAATATATCCCTTTGACCCAGACTACTGTGCCATTTTCATGTCTTATAAGTATAACATGCTATTTCTTTGGGATGGCACATTTTGCAGTCGTTTCAAATTAAATGGTACTGCATGTAATGTAATGAAGATGATTCACTCGTGTTGTACTTTTGCTATTTAGATCTAAGCTATTAATATACTCAATTTGCTTTCTTCTTTTGGAGCTTATCATTATATTCATACACACTGTGCACATGTGCAAACAAACAATTTGGTACCTTAAAATTTTCAGTCACACATGGATGGGTCGATGGTATGAACTTTATGAAAGAGCATGTCAATAGCGTTGTTGTACAACTCATTCTGATAAAATCTTGAAAATGTTCTGTTGTTCGTTTTACACTATTTTCCTTCCTACTTTCTTTAATAGGTTTTAGTTCTGAGCTTCTTCTCACTAAAAGGGAAAGTATGTCGCAGGCTAGATGGCAGCAGGAGGAGACATCAAAAGACGAACTACTTGAGCAGGTCAGTTCAGTAAGGAAAGAAAGAGAACAAATTGAGGCCTCAACAAAATCCAAGGAGGATATGATCAAACTGAAAGCAGAGAACAATCTGCAGAAGTACAAAGATGATATTCAGAAGCTCGAAAAAGAAATCTCCCAATTGAGACTCAAGAGTGATTCTTCAAAGATTGCTGCGCTTCGGAGGGGCATTGATGGAAGCTATGCCAGCAAAGTAACAGACATCGAAAATGGCATAGATCAAAAGGGGTCCCGGATGCCATATATCTCAGAAGTAGTGAAGGATTTTCATGACTACTCTGAGACAGGAGGGGTGAAACGGGAACGGGAGTGTGTGATGTGCCTTTCAGAGGAGATGTCTGTGGTGTTCCTCCCATGTGCGCACCAAGTGGTTTGCAGAACATGCAATGAGCTCCATGAGAAACAGGGTATGAAGGATTGCCCTTCTTGTAGGAGCCCCATACAGTGGCGGATTTCTGTACGTTATGCTCGTTCTTAGTAAAGTTCGTAGAATCGAGTGGAGTGTTCTGAATAAAGATTGTGGGACTCCTATGAACTGAATAAATGCATTTGGATCACTCCCTCTGGGAGTTTTGACAGTTAAGTTGCCTTGTATTCTGAGGTTTGATCCTCTGGGTGGTTTGACAATTTACACATCATTTTCTCAACAATGTACTAGTTTGAAATCTACAGGGCTATATGCTGATAGCTCTAAATTTTGTTCTCACATATTCGATTAAATTATTTGAAGAATCTTGTACCAAACCCAAAAAAAAAGGTTAGCAACTGAAGTTATACACATACATATTTGAAAAGATAAATTCTTGTTCATAGCTTTTGTTTTCAACCTGAACACAATACCGATTATATGTAAGTTGGAAATGAATCGATAGTGAACAAAAACACAACATGATTATAAATGAGTCGGAAATGAATTATTATGCATTGATAGTTTGACAACACAAACATAATACCTTCATATACATCTTCCTTTTTTGTTTTAATACCTCAAAGAGTGTCTTACATTTTAAAGAATGCCTCTTTTCCTCCTTTTTTTTCTTTTAAATTTTGATCATTTGAAGGAGAATTTGATTGGGTGGGGAGTGGCATATATATGTGGATAAGAAAAGAGAGAGCAGGATTCCATGGTGATGATTGTCCACCAGCGAGCCACGTGGCACGAGCTCTTTGGACTCAGATTTTATTCTGGGTGAAGGAGTGACGGGCCCCACCGTAATGTACCGCCCTTTTTTGAGTCACAAATTATATTATAACAGCTTGGACTCGGGAGTTTGCCGAGTCATCATCAGCCCTCAGCAAGACAGCGTCAACCATAATAACAGACTTTTCCCTCCTTTTTTTTCGCCCCTTATCTGCTGACTTGAAATACCCAAAATAACCTCCAATCATGTTTCTCTTAAAAGATATGGTTGAAGTTTAAAAAAAAAAAAAAAAAAAAAAAAAAAAAAAAAAAAAAAAAAAAAAAAGAAATATTATTAAATTTGTTTTGTTTTATAAATTAAAATGTGTGTGCCATATTTTATCATTTTCTAGATAATATTAACCTTTTTATTTTATTTTATTAAATTTTTTTTTCCAGGGATTAATCCATTTTTATTTGCCACCATTATTATTGTTCTTAAAGGTGCCACCAATAATTATAAAACAAATTAATGATGAGAAAATAATAATAATGATCATCAACAAAAAGAGCTCTTCAGAATGCAGAATAATTCAAATACTCATCCTATGTAAATAAACAAGTAATTAACGTTAGGGTGATGATTTTCCCACTCCCCTTTGACCACTTATATTCCCTTTTGTTTTTTAATAGTTTTTACTATGACAAAAAAGCGAGTGTATGTGGACAAAAAAGGAGTGGGAACACACAATTTCTAACCAAAGGAGTGTAAGTGGAAAAGATTAGTGGGAAAATCAGTTCCCTAACATTAAACATACTAATTACAATGGCTAGCCAATCATTATGTGACATGTCATCAACATATGCCACTTGTCAGCCTGTTGTTTCTTGCCATTTTGTAAATTATGAATCAAAGTGAAGGGGTTCAAAGTTCAGTTAGAAGCACGACTTAGCGCTATATAACTGTAATTTGGTCCACTCATGTCACTACTCATCACAGCATTACAGACAAAACAGAGAAGGCACCAACCGCCATTTTTGGTTTGCTGAAGAAGCTCATCAGGGCCTCAAGACCCAGCTAATACCTCCATTTTCTGATCAAAAAAAGCACCTCAGTCTTCTGCAGGTATGAAATATGCACACCACATATTTGATCACCATCTCAACAAGTTTGCAATCAAATGATCTTGAATTCTGTTTTGCTCTTTGTTGGTTATGGTTTCTTCCTATCAAATATAACTTCTACACATAACCATTTCTCTCTCTCTCTCTCTCTCTCTCTCTCTCTCTCTCTCTCTCTCTCTCTCTTATAATCAATTTAGCATATAGTTTGTATTAAGATTCCAGTATTATATATTGCTTGGAAGTTTGTTTGTACTGATCAGTTAAACACGATTGCATAATTTGTATGCATTTTGCAAGTGACAGGGCTGAGGACTGTACATTGTAACACTTGGGTTTTTGAAGCAAGGGGTATAGGAAATGTCATCCACAGTGAAAGGCATGCTCATAAGGACCGCACCAGAGGTTTATAGGCAGAGGTTGTTCAAGGGGAAATATGTGGATCAATTTGATCTTGTTAGACAAGAAAACCCTTCCTTCCATGGCCTCAACTGGCCTGGTCGAGTTGGCCACGCACGCCATAGCCGACAGAGTATGCATATAGTAAATGGGATCACAAACCCAAACCCCAACAAGTATGAGCCAGGGCACAACAAAGCAAAAGCCATTCTATCCCCAGTTGTAGATTCAACTACACCCACAACCAAAAAGGTACTCATATTGTGCTCTCTAGTTTTGACATGGTATTATAATGATATGTAATCTGTTACATAGCAGGTTCCCTGAAAGCCTTTTTCTCTTGTGTTTATACAGAGAGTATTTAATTTTGGAAAAGGAAAGAGTGAAGGCAACAAGGGCATGAAGTCATTGGTAAGCTTTACTTTTACTTTCCATATGAAAAAGAAACCATGAGATCTGATTCAAGTTAAGGGCATGTATTAATTGGACACCAAATTAATTGACCAGTAAGAGAAATGAAAATGCTACCATTTTTTATAGGGCCCAGTTTTTGAATGAGGAGTTTTACTTTTATCTCAGTGGAGCATAAGTTTGTCGTTTTAATGGAATCGTTCAATTTGAATCTACCCGTTAATTTCCATGTTCAAGTAAGTCTCATTGTCCAAATGTTAATAGAATTTAATGATCGACCGGGGCTGCAAGTCTTAAACTTAATCATACAATCCGATAGCTGTGTTCATTATGCCTGTGCATTGTAGTTGGGAGGGAAAGGTGCAAACCTGGCAGAAATGGCTAGCATTGGGTTATCCGTCCCGCCTGGGCTTACTATATCAACAGAAGCATGCCAAGAGTATCAGGAGAATGGCAAGGAGTTACCAAAAGGTTTGTGGGAGGAGATATTAGAAGGCTTGGATAGTGTGCAGAAGGACATGGGTGCTATTCTTGGGGACCCTTCCAAGCCTCTCCTCCTTTCTGTTCGCTCTGGTGCTGCTGTAAGAGTTCTTTCAATTCCAATTTTTCTTGGCTTGTTTAACTTTAAATCTTCATAATTAATGCAGAGCCTTCCTCATGATGTAAAAATTAGAAACTTATTAGCAAGGAATTACAACTTATCTTGATGCCACCATTAGTTAGACTCTCCCAGAAAGTATATGACATTCTACATATGGAGAAGCACTTATTCTGAACAATGTCACAATCAAGTTCAGTCTGTTCAACAAGAACTAATTTATTTCGTGAACCAACTGATTTTCAAGCTATATACGTAGATTTCAATGCCTGGAATGATGGACACTGTCCTCAACCTTGGACTCAATGATGAGGTGGTTGCTGGTTTGGCTGCAAAAAGTGGAGAGCGCTTTGCTTATGACTCGTACCGACGTTTTCTAGACATGTTTGGAGATGTTGTAAGTGGTTTTATTGATGATGCATTTCATAGTTTTTGGTGTATGTTAATTGACCTTCAGTGCTTATCAACCATCTGCTCATTCTCTCTGTTTTAAGCACTAAAAAATGTCTGAAGCTAGCCGTCAAACTAGCAGCACTTGATCAGCATAATATGTGTCCAAACTTGCATTTTTCTCAATATGGCATGACAAAGACACTTTTTCTTCTTCTCTGGATTCAAAATGCAATCTGAATTTATTGGGAGTCATTCGTTTTCCATTTGAAGGTTATGGGCATCCCACACTCATCATTTGAGGAGAAGTTGGAGAAATTAAAAAGTATAAAAGGAGTTGAACTTGATACAAAGCTAACAACCTCTGACCTTAAAGAGCTGGTAGAACAGTACAAAAATGTCTATCTGGAAATTAAGGGTGAAAAATTCCCTTCAGGTACCAATTAAAACACCAACAACTTCTTCATATGTTCCACCTCTTTCCTAGTACAGTTCTGTATGTTAACATGTCCTTTTGTCATGCATATCTGCAGATCCAAAACAACAGCTACTTTTGGCTGTTAAAGCAGTTTTTGATTCTTGGGACAGCCCAAGGGCCAACAAGTACCGGAGCATCAATCAGATAACCGGTTTAAAGGGAACTGCAGTTAACATTCAATGCATGGTTTTTGGGAACATGGGAAATACTTCAGGGACAGGTGTTCTATTCACCAGGAATCCCAGCACTGGTGAAAGGAAGCTTTATGGCGAGTTTCTAATCAATGCTCAGGTTTTTTTATGCCACTATTAAGCTTTATCTCTATCTTGCTTTTGACCAAACTTCTCTTTCTAAGCCGATAGTAGTATTTGGTTATGGTTTTATGAGAGTAGAATGGCTTTGAATAGGGAGAAGATGTAGTTGCTGGTATTAGGACACCAGAAGACTTGGATACTATGAAAAGTTGTATGCCAGAAGCTTACAAGGAGCTTGTGGAGAACTGTGAAATTCTGGAAAAACATTACAAAGATATGATGGTAATAGTTATCATTCCCATATATGATTTTCCAATCAGTGTTACATACACATATTTTAATTTATGGGAACATATTGTTATTGGTTTTATTTTTTATCCTTAAAACCTGAAACACAGGACATCGAGTTCACAGTCCAAGAAAATAGGTTGTGGATGTTACAATGCCGCACTGGAAAGCGTACTGGTAAAGGTGCAGTTAAGATAGCTGTAGACATGACTAATGAAGGGCTTGTGGATCAGAGCGCTGCAATCAAGATGGTGGAACCACAGCACCTTGACCAACTTCTTCACCCACAGGTATTTATTCTCATTTCTAACAAAGAGGAGGGGGAGGGGGAGATGGGGTGAGGGCAGAGAGAAAAGTGAATGTTATATTGTTTAGTAATAATGAATTTCACAACATATCACTGGAAAATTTGTAGTTT